TGACCCCTGGTCTAGACTGACGCCGGAGCGAGTGAGAACCAGACTTCTGAGGAGTCTGTATTTTCCCCACAGTCGCAGTCAGCATCACTGACCAAGCCGACTTCACTGATGCGGCTTAGTCTGCTAGTTGACAATTTTCCCTAGAAGCTCAAACCTTTAAACTTTCACTTTAACCGGGCTTAACTCCATAGACTCTCTAATTTAGAGCCCAGATGACCCAAGGTACGCTAGTATTTCAAAATACCTTATGGAATTTTTGTCAATCCTTGTTTATCCCCGGAGGCATCAGTAGAATTCACTAGCTGCGACTTTACTAGTTAAAGACCGCCACACAGGTTTGATTTACTTATGGTTAGCGGTTGTTCAGAGAGCTTTAACTTCACAGAAAAGTGAGACCTCAACGTAACCCTAATTGCGCTGGAATTTGGTGACAAGCCACCAGCACTGCGGACCGTTCCAGTCCCAATGTCCCGTAAATGTAGGCACAACTTAATGTTCTTCACCGCTCTTGCGCAATATACCTGCCAGTTTTTAATTTCATCCCTTCTTTAGGCTCACAACTTATCCCTGACAGGCACACTCTGCGGAAGTTTCGCCCCTCAAGTTAGGACCCCACAGAATGCCATTGTGAGGAAAAAATATGAAGAGTACGTATGAACTGGAAAATCGGCATCGACAATAGAAGTCCTTTAAGAAACGATAGTTTATTGTGTGAAATTTCGACTGGCTCACCAGGTCGTCGTTAGATGGCTTAGAGTTGTATGAGACAGCTAGTTCAAAATGCTAACCTCTTTTCTTAACCGTCCATTTTGTTTAAACCTGTTGGACACAATGCTGAGGCTCAAACCCCGCTTGGCATCTGATCACCCAGTTGTAAGATTCTGATAACTGATAACCTACCTCTGCATGCGGGTGACGATCATCAACTATTACCCTGAACCACTACATAATCTTGTGTTAGCCATAATTTTGAATTAACTGTTTCGTACACCTCTTAGCCGCCTAACGACTACCTGGTGAGCCAGTGTCCAAAATTCACATCATTAACTATCGTTTCTTAAAGGACTTCTTCTACCGAATATGAATAATGTTGAGTTACCTTTTTTCCCGTTTTCGCAATACATCCAACGGATAGGCAAAGCTGCCCCCAGGCTACAATTTCTTACAATATTTGCTTTTCCATGCGAGTGTATTCTAGGGATGAATCGCATGCAGCAAATAAGCACGTTTGCATTTTGCTTAGACTGCAAAAAGAATGCTACACAGAAAGAGGGAGACTAACTTTCTTAATCTGTTTAACGAAGCAATGCTCCTCAAGCTAAGCATATGGCTTAAAATACATCAGGTCGATAGTAGTAAACAGCACAGCTGCCAACACAAGCGAAGTGGTGTGAGAGGGGCTGGAAAGAAACAGAAGCTATCGGTGGGACAAGAATTTTTTTCACCGGGTGTTTCGGATTCATGTTCGAAGCGAACACGGTTTCCAACGCCGCTGCCGGTGAGCCAGGTAGCTGAGTAACCACCGCGCCAACATCGAACACGGGTGATGCAATTTCAGCGATAAACGACTCTAATGCCGGCAATTATTATGCTAACAAGGGGCAACAATCCCTGATGAAGGGCGGAACCGTTAATCGTCATAGGCGTCTAGTAGAATGGCGACTGCATCCTATAAATACTGCACCGCACTGTGCATGAAATACGCCTATCTGATGGCGTTTCTGCGATGACCGGTTCGAGCATGAATTCGAAACGTCAGCGATAACACGGAGTCTAGGGGCACGGATAACCGGCGTGATTTTCTTGTACAGAATCTTTTCTAGTGCGACGACATTAAGGTATGGCAGGGTAGCAACCTCATCAAGACTTACTGTTTGAGTACAACTCACAAGAAACCGAGGTTGGTGTGAGCTGTCGGCGTGTCCTTAGTCTTCAACGTACTTTATGATCTACCGGCATACTTATTGAGGTTTCGTCTTCTGCAGCGAGAAGACCCTGCACTCAGCCTTCGATTTAACCTTATTCACAGCAAACAAGGCCAGAGTGGTACTTCGATGTGGCTACAACAAACGAGGATGGTCAGACTTCACGGAGAAATAAAAGCATAGGAAAGCGAAAAAAACAACCTCGTGATCTAGGAGGCACAAGAAAAGGCTGCAGAGAGTTTGTGTCAGTGCAAGAAAAGTGCTTGTCAGGAAACCAAACGGCACCTCAGTTTTTCCAGCGGAGGTTTTACGACAGTGTGTAAAGGCGAAAAGTGAAGGTGGAACAGCCGTGCTTGGAGGGGACTTAAAGAGTCACTCAACTCGAAAGTGCAATGAGAACTCAGTGCAGATGCAAATCTGCCAATACTTTTCATACTTTACTGACCCTCAGTTATAAAGAAATGAAAGAAGTAGAAGAGGATAGTGGCAATTATTTTTGATACTGCCTAGAGAAATAATGCATCTCTCTCCTTCTCTCACGGTTGGATCTGGATCTTAAATTGTGAACCAGTCTTAAGTCATTTGGTAAGTGTCCACAATATATCATGCGCTACGACTTCGATTACCTAGTATTCATCTGCGGTCAAAAGCGGGGTTTACTAGTGATGTCGTACGGCCAAGAAACTATTTTATTCGTCAGTCAACACTGATTCTGAAGCATATGAGATTCAAAGACTGGATTTTTACTCATTGAGTCAAATGTTCTACCAAGTGATTCGTCCTGTCAGTAGCTTGATCGGCACTTCAAGCATAGTCAATATCTCCGATCGCAACCTGCAGTAAAATTGGCCCATGTCTCATTTGATAGAGCGTTCGACTCAATGACCAAAAGTCCCGAGTCCAGTCGTTCTGCAATTGCTTAAAAGGCTCGAGATCGAGCCCCAAAACATATCAGGACGAACAGGTCTCATAATCTGGTCGGTGAACTCACTTCAAACAGACCAAAAAACTTCAAAAAAGCAAGTGTCAGCAATAGATAAAATGTACTTCCGTTCACTGTAAATCGTTTGCACGTTGAAGTGGCATGCCAAATTTCCCCGGGATATGATCAAGGATCAATACGAATTAATGCAGTTTCAAATAGAAGAATATATTGTAGGTATTTTTCCATCTACGTAAGAGCCAGAACATGCGTCAAATAAAAAGAAATGAATAGCCAAATGTCTTTAGACAACATTGAACTGACTTATTTGCTATATTGTAAAAGCTTCTACCATTTGGGCAGGCATTGATGTTGTTCATCGGTACTTGATAAATACTAAGTTCCTTTGAAAATGGAGGACGTCAGCCAGAGGGGATCAATCTTTCCCCTATGCCGACCCAAAGTTGATCAATACCTGAAGCCGAATGTAAACTTAGACATATCTACAGTACGATCTTAGCTTCGTGTAACATAACATATGCGAAAGATTAATACTCTCTCGCTAATCGGCAGTGAGGAAGGTTATAATACTGATTATCATGTCATCTCAGTCACGATAGGATGCCGGCCTTATGACCAACTTCGCTAGCAAAAAAAGTGGCTACCTAAGTAGTATGCAGTTTTATCATTGATTTTGACAGCCTTTATAAATTCAAATACACTTTATGGAAAACATGTACG